TAAGACAAAAGTTTGTTTGAAAAGATAGTTAAAGTTGTTATAATTATTAAATCTATTCATGTCATTTGATAAGTCTCAAGCATTAGCTAGAGATTGTAAAAATTTAACTTTTTTCTGAAATATTTATTTTTCTTTTATTCAATTCTATTTATTCTAATATTATTCAATTCTATTTTTATATCTATAAAAGATATTTTACAGAAGTCAGCTTTATAGTTTTATTGAACTAATTTCACTTTCAACTTGTATGCAAATGGAATAGTGTGGTATATGTAACAATAGAAATATTACAAAATACCTGCTTAAACTTTGAAAAAAAACTGATACTACATAATTCTAGCTGTGTGGTAGGAGTTTTTTTTAATAATATTGCCATCTTTTCAATGGTTTTAAACACACTGCCAAACAACAATTCCCATTAAAATTTGACAAATATAGGCATTCATCCCAAAACAAGATTTGAACTAGCAAAAGTACAAACCTACCTTAATATATTTATTTGTCAAATCTTGCCAAGCTGGGGCAAAAGTTTCTGGGGGAAAAGCTAAATTTTTACAATTGCTAATTAGTGCTTGAGACATATCAGATGAAATTTATATTCGATCTAGTAATTATAGTAACTTCAGTATCTTTACAAATCAAACAAACTTTCTCTAAATGTAAATGTTACCTAATTCAAAGTATAGTTCAATTAATTTAAGTATCAAATTATGTTACTTAATTCAAGTTATTTGCAACTACAGTATTTACAACAGATCTTATTTGGCTGAGAAAATCAAAAGATAATTTTCACTTATCAGGTTCATTTATAGTTTATCATCATGAAAATTAAGTATACAGTGTAAAGGAACAAAATAAATATGTCCAAAACTCACCTTAAAATTTTCCAAAAATACTAAAGATGTTGACATGAAACTTTGAAAATGAAAAATATCAACATTATTTTTATCATAAAATTTGTCTACTGTCTTACTGTTAAGTAGACAAATAGGTTTTAAATCATAATTTTTGATTAATCAGTTAGTTATAACAGCATTTTTAAATGCTTACAAAATAGAACAAAACAATAATTTGAAAATATTTACTTGAAAGTTGTTCAAAATATAAATAAAACAGTGAACATACCAATATTTTCTCACTCCTGTATGTGGTAATGTTTTTCAATGTGAATTATTTAATGAAAAATACATCATTTAATACATTTAGTAAATACTGTATTTACTTGTATATAAGACGAGGTTTTTATTCTTTTTCACTGCTTCAAAAACCTAGGTTGTTCTATAAGCGTGAGCAAAGGATTCTTTTTGTTTTTGCAATAATTTTTGTAAACTGTATATTTGCAATTTTTACTGGATTCTCATCTTCTGGTGTTTAAGAACAAGTATTTTGGCTGGGTCATTTGAATCGTTCTTGTGTATTGTCAGGAGTAAAGATGAATAGCAGTAAGAAAAGCAAAGCTTTTGAATTGAATTCCAAAATTACACAGGAGCCCAATATAAGTTTTAATTCATTCCCATGTGAAAACATGATTATATGGAAACCAGAATTTGGAGAAACTCATAAGTTTAATTAATTAAATTAAATTAATAAATTGACTAAGAATGAATTCGACTGTTAAGAATTGGCAAAAAGGGTTCCTGATTGTCCAGCTTTATGTGAACAAATTATGTTGTAGAATTTACAAGATTTTTCCTTGAAGTTTAAAATGCTAGTAATTTTTGAGGGACAATGTGTACATTTACATGCATTTGATATTTTATTTGTGATTAAACGAAATAAAATTAGAATTGTATTAATAAATCTAACTTTTTATTTTTATCTTTAAAGTCATACCTTGTCTTATATGCGAGTAAATACGGTAATTATTTTTGTAAATGTAATAACACAACAAAAAATGTAGCCTATACATTATATTTTTAATTTAAGAATATTTAATGGCTGTAAAATATAAATGAATAAAATAAAGAAGCAGCTTAAAATTACTTTAAAACTTTTTCTTTGAAAAAAAATGTAAGTATGGATTTTTTTAGAGCAAGTTTTTCACTCGGTAAAATTTTTTTCTGGGTATATTACTAGATTATGATATTTTTTAATGAAATAAATGAAAATGAATACCATATATGATATACAGGGTGTTTCGAAACTCATGGGCAAAAAATTTAAGGGTGATAGATAGAAAACATCTAAACAAGCAATTTTCACCATACAATGTATGGGCAGAGAGCAAGCAATGGTTCACCGCTTGCTCTCCACCCATGGTGAAAACTGCTTGTTTAGATGTTTTCTATCTATCACCCTTAAATTTTTTGCCCATGAGTTTCAAAACACCCTGTATGATATATATGAAAAATAAAACTGCATATTTCAGTTGCAAACATAAAATAAAATGATAAATCCTGAATTTTGTCCAGGAAATTTTTTTGCCAGTGCTTCAAAAAATGACTGGACACTTGTTGAAATGACAATTTTCTGCATGTTGCTATGACACAGCTAATATATATCATTATACTAGCAGACCCTGCCACATGTTGTTGTGGCTCAAAATGTATCTATTATAAATGTATAACACTTCCCCCGTGGGGGGGAAATTTTTCGAAAAATTTCTTCTTAGTGTACATTCTCTTGATTTACCCTATTAAAACGCAATCAAAAACGCAAAAACCCGCATCTAAAATAGTATAAATAGAAACAGAGTTCTTTACGGTAAGCCTTAATTAATCCTAACCATCTCCCTTCAGTGGGGGGAATTTCGACATGTATATTATATAAAAGCATGTGTATTCGAATACAGCGTTGTGTCAAAATTTCAAAGGAATCAGTAGGAACAAACGAACATTATATTTTTATTTATATAGATAGATAGATGATGATCCGCTTTAGTTCATTTTTACAGAAAAGCATAATGCCTCACAGAAAAGCAAACTTAGGGCGTTGTACTCGTAGTGCCATCTGTTGGACATAAAAGCCTTAATCTAGATTATATCTTTTAATTTATATGAATGTTTAACGGAATAATATACAGCCTATGTCCACCCTGAAGTTCCATTCTAAATATTGGTGAAAGAATTTTTGAAATCGGATGAGTAGTTTTGGATATTACCCGCTACATCCAAACTTATTTACTTACTTACAAACATTACCTCTTTATAATATTAGTATAGATGTAGATTAGGAAATTTATGAGTCAAGATTGTTTAATTTGTTTGCATCTTGTTGTAGGTAATGCTAATATGAATAATATATTATCATACCTAGAGATTCACAGCAGTGTTAGAAATTCTTTATTTAACTTTTATAACATGTATTGACTTTTTTACAAAAATTTAGGCCCTTACATTAAATATAACTGATGTACTTCACAATGTGTGCAATCCATCTCTCAATAAAATAACATGATTATACATAATGCCATTGATATTCAAATCAATGAATGAGGCAATTCTTATAATAGAAAATGTTGTTTTATGCTTATTTCAAATTAAATATTAAATTTTGAATGTAATAATTTCAGTCTTTTCCTATTCCTATTTCTAAGATACAATTTTGTAAACCCTAAATAGTTTAGTTCTTGCAGCTGGATAATGTATGGTACTTATTAATTTTTGGCCTTATACAGCATGTAATGGAGAAACAAATGCATAATTAGTATAATTTACATCAATCAAAAGCACATGAGCTAACGAGTATCAATCAAAAATAAAAACACTGATTTTTCTGAAGAGAAAAAAATTATGAGAATTTGAAAATAGGATGTATAGTTTTCATTTCAATTGCTTTTCCATTCAACTGTAAGAACAAATGTCTACTTAGCATGTTTACAGTGCTTCATGTTAAACTTTGAAAATGATTACCTTTGTTGTTGTGATAGTGTAATTTTGATTCTGATCAAGGAATTTAATAATCATTGTAAATTAAAAAATTTCTTCAACTTTTCATAACTTTTTCCTTTGGGAAATTTTTTATTTTTTTTTGATTGATAGTCATTAGCACATGTGTGTTTGATTGATATAAATTATGCCATGAATATGGAGTTGTTTCTCTGTTACTTGCCATATTAGCCATTTTAAAGTAGACCATCACTGCTCTAAACTATTGATCAGTATAAAAAAATTTGCAAGTTGTGTTCTTCACGTTATTGTATATTTAAAAAATAACAATGACAGATATTTTTTCATAGTCATCTGAATGTGAAATTACTTTTTTTTAATGATATCACTGTTTTGTAATTATAGATAACAATTTTCTTTCATTAAGCTTGACAATATTTAATAAAACAAGAATGACAATTTTAATTTCTATTATATTCAACCTATTTCTCAGCATTTTCTAATCAAGATATTTTTACTTTTTTAATGAAAATTTGGACAATATTCTACATAAATCAATTGTGTATTAGAAACAAATAATGTACAGTCGACCCCCGTATAAGATCATTGATTATTCCGTTTTATATGAATTCCGTGTTGTACGAGTCACTTAAATTTTACAAATTCGTGAGCCGTTCACGGCCCGGTACATGTATTTGTAAAATCTAAGTGACTCGTACAACATGGAATTCATATAAAACGGAATAATCAATGATCTTATAGGGGGGTCGACTGTATTTCTAACAAATGCAAAATCTTTGAAAAATCTAGTATTTTTTTTTTTATTAATATCAGCAGATTTAAAAGGGATATTAAACAATACAAATAGAGGAACTGTCTGTTTTGGATAATATCTGAAAAAAAAGCTAATATTTAATACATTTTTGTAATAATTTGTATAATTTAATAGATTTGGAACAAACATAATCTAATATAATATTTCTTATAGCTATTTTCTTTTCATTGCTCTTGCTATAAAAGTGAAATACTTTATACTAGGTATAGCAAGACATTAGAAATGTATAAATAAATATACCCAGTTTTAATTATATAACAATTTTACCTTATCTTTTTTTACTTACACAAAGTTATCAAATGCTTGAATTATAAAGAATTCCTTATTAAAATTTCCAGAAAAATGATTACCGATATACAGTTGGCAATCTTCTCAAACATCCTGGGAGTTACACTATTTGTTCTAGTAGCTGTTTATCATTATGTATCTGTGCATCATCCAAAACAATCTGATTAATTTCAAGAATAAAACAGTAAGTAAAACTTTTTAATGTATATTAATATATAAAATAAGTAACAAAAACTATATTTTAATCTTTTTTTTTTTTTTTTCTTTCTTTTCAGTGATTAATTACAAGAATATGATTCTGTACATATTTCTCATAGGTCTATTATATATATAAATTCATATCAGCATGTCGCTTCATTTTATAAGTGCCAACGAATTTTAAAATACTCAATTATATTTAATACTCGAGCAATTTAAAAGCTTATTTAGGAATATTCTTTTGTTTTTTATTTATATTTTGAGATTACAATTTATATGTATAAATGTTGAAGATCATTTTTGTATCATGTAAAATTATGATTTCTTACCACGTTGACAAAAGAATCAATTTAAAGTTTAAATTAAAACATTTTTGAAAGATAATTGTCTTTATACATTTGATTATTAAATAGCTTCAGCATTGCTAATTTAATATAAAATAACAAATATGCTTCCTTTCAGGACTTCTAGATTGGGTGAAAAATTACAAATTAGGCTTTTTAAATTTATCTTGCTGCTTGTTTTACCAATCTGAATTGGAATTGTTAAAATATATTTACAGATGTAAGAATTGTGATGCTATATAGAGTAGAGAAGTGTAGATAATAATTAAGTACCATGTGCTTTTATTTGTTTAATTCTTGTAAATAATAGTGGGCTGATTTTTAAGTGATTTCAAGAAAGATTTCTGTGAATTTTCTTAAAAATCGTCTCCGGTAACTTGCTTTCTTTATCGAACATTTAACATTAAAATTGGTATCTCATTTAATCTCAGAATATTAAAATATGTATTATAAAAATAAAACATCAGTTAATATTTATATGTAATATTATAGTTATGAAAAAATTTAAATTATATTAATAAATTTTACTGAAAATGAAGCAGCATTTTAACTGGTTAAGTACTCTTATTTATTTTACATTATTTTCAAGATCAAAATGCTTTGTCTTTTGTTTGTTCTCAAATTTAGCATTCTGAATTGCTAAATTTTTCCTGTTTGATTTGAATTTTTTAATCTGAGAAAAAATCTGTTTTGACCTATGAAAATGTTAGAAGAGAATAAACTTTCTTCTTTGCATTTGGATACAGTTTGAGCAAATTCAATGGAACTTTACAGGGCTCATTCATTATCTTATCATTATCTTATTCATCATCTTATCAATAATTACTTATTGTCAGGGCTGGTAATAAGGAGAACTGAGGATTTTTCCCAGGGCCTGGAGAAACTTAGGTGCCCATAGTGCTTCCTACTTCTAAAAATTAAAGTTGTTTTTAATAACAAAAAATCTTTAGGACTTCTTTTTATCAATAAAGAAATACATTCTACATATTTGATTTATTCCAGGGCTGTGGAGTTTGAGTCGTGGAGTTTTGGTGTTTTAGCCGGAGTCGGAGTTGTCAAAAAATCCACCAACTCAGACTCCTTTTTACTTACCAACTTGTTATGTACAGTATATAAAACGGAAAAGTATTGGAATCGTGTCAAATTTGACCCTCCAAGATTTTTTTGCAAATCTACATGTTTGGTGACATCTCGAACCCCTCAAAAAAGTCAGTAAAGAGGAAAAATTAGCGCGCATGTGTGTGTTGGCATCTAATTTGTTTAATTTCTTTATTTTCTGTTCTGAGATATTAAATAATGTCTCTGAATGGGTAAAGTTTAAGAAATGAAAGGTGGCACTGTAGCTTGCGTATAAAGGGGCATTAATACTATTAAATTTTGGTTCTTAATTAAAGGTCGACAGGGTGAAGACATAAAAGGGGTCATGTGCCATATCTCTTAATGAATATTTTACTCGTTATTAGCGTTCAAAATTAAAAAAAAAATAAAATAAAACTCGTCCCTATCCTCAAAGTAAGCTTTTTAGCCATTTTATAATATTACAGTAAAACCCATTAAGATGTTCTCACCTAAGATGTTAGAATGTATATGGGGACATGATTTAGTTCAACCACTTTGATGCTTAATAACTAACTACTGTGTTAAACCTGTGTGTGACTCCGATTCTGACCACAGAAATTATTAGGCTTCAAACAGGGTGAACAAACTCATGCCCCCCCCCACACAGTCTAACATCCACACATACAGAAAAAACCTCAAATCTTTTGCATATCTCGAAATTTCAAGGTGTTCCTGAGTCCAAAAATGTAAAAATTTGGGAGGGGTCATTTTTTTAGTGAGCATTACACTTTTCCTCTGTTATATATAACAGCCAGAAAAGTAAAAATTATCGAATACATATTTATATATTACTTAGAGAAGTCTTTTAGCTTTGGAATAAAAAGTTTCTATGCTCTATCTTTATTAGAACTCTATTTATTGAATCTTTTATTCTGAGGTCACGTGATGGCATCAGAATTTCCGAGTCTCTTTCGGTAACAAGTCCGCCCCTAGTCGGAGTCGGTAGATTTTTACGTGACTCCACAGCCCTGATTTATTCATAAAATAGGCAAATGGGACCTGCTAAGGGCATAAGTGATCTGCTCTATCCCCAGATGCCATACAAGATTACAACAGCCTTGCTTCTTATTGAATGTAATTAAGAGTTTTGAGTGCACTAAGTTTGAATTTTTTGTGTTTGTCTTGAAATCTGATTGGCTAGCCAATTACCAATTGGAGTCTGGCTACAATGAAAACTGACTAAAACATCAAAATATTTTGGGGAAAGCAGAGATATGTGCTTTTAGAGATAGTGAGTTCACATTTTGTGTGCATTAACATCAAGATGTTATTGGCTACTGAAAAGCTAGTAAGAATTTAGTTTATTAAAATTATGGCCAATGGTATTTACATTAAAATACATATAAATAAAATTTTCCAAAGCTATAAAATTGTCTTTTATTGTTACAAATACCAGTGACAACCAACAACAATGTTCAGTTATGAAGACAACTTTTTATTTGAGGTCTCCACAATAAAATGCAAAATGGATGAGCAATTATTTATTGTGATGTCGTCACAATGCTGGACTGCAATTTTTAATCATATTTTTAATTTATTTAATTTAAAATATATGCTCTCCCCTCCAATTAGTAGTGGCTTGCCCCTATATATCATACTTTTGCTTTAATTAACAATAGAATCGTGATGTTCATCTATTTACTTTCAGGGGAAAAATTGAAATAATGTTACTTCTGGTTTGCATCGGAAGTTCATATATAATTAATTGGGCCTCCTGCCCTTAAGGTTTCCATATATGGTCTCGGATATCATCTATCTAACTCCATTCTTAAGATTAAGGAAAGACGGACAGATGGACGACAACAGTAGGAATTTATTGGGCTACAATTTGAAAAAATTGTAGCCCAATAAAATTGTCCTCATGTAATTAACAATAAAGTCCATTAAAATTAAATCTTGGCTGACAGTATATAAATAAAATTTATCAAAGACAATTTTGTAGCTTTGGTAAGTTTTATTTATATGTATTTTAAGAATTTAGTTACTAAGAGAACACTTAATGTTTATGAAAATGAAATTCAAACATCAAATCTTGCAATTAAATGAAATTTTTCCTGAATTCAAAAACAGAAAAGATTGTATGTGAATCTGTTTAAAATTTAAAAAGCAGTTAAGTCATGAAAAAATAATATTCTTGATATTTTGTTATTCAAATACAAAATTTCTTTAAGAAATTTTATTTATATCACATCAATAATCAGTTAAAAGGCTACTCCATTAATTAGAGTAATCCTTTGTTTGTTGAATCAATTGTTTATTGTATGAAGAAGTCGCAATATATCACAAATTCACTTCAGTTAAATCTTACTTTTTTCCTATATTAATCTGAATATTTTTTATAATTAGAATTTTATGTACAGTAAAGTCATAATCAGTAAAATATGATATAATATTTTGGTTGTTGTTATGTTGTATATAAATAATAATAATTGAAACATTACATGATAATTTCGAGATATTAGGAAGAAAACAGTAGCATAAAAAGTATTTTGTGAAATCAAAGGAAGTTTGTGAAATAAGGATTTATCTACAGCTTCAATGCATTTAGCGCACAAATTTATCGTCGTTATTCATTCTAAAATAATTCATGTAAAAATACTTAACAACAAAATACACTAATAGTCTTTAATGTAGAAATTTGTTGGCTATTTGAATTATGTCCTACAAATCTTAACTTTCTGATATTAAAAACACAATAAGACTTAGCAGGTTGTATTCAAGGATGCAATTCAGTCAATAAGTGTTTGAGATAATCCCCGTCTTCAGAATTCATGTAAATTTGTGCCCATCCATGCCCCATTCACTAATTACTTTATAGGATATACAAATTTTTTTTCATTGACTAAGTCTATAACTTAATAAACAGTGCATAAAAATACCTTTTTCTCTTACTGAATAGTATTTTATATAGTTATTGATCTAGTCATTTATCTAAAGCATCTGATGATCACTTGGGGCATGCTTCACCACTAACATAAATGATTTGATATTTTATTTAGGAATGCTTTTTGCTAATACTCTTTCCTTGTGTCTATAAGATTTTAAGAATTGATTACTTTCAATTAATAACAACTTTAGTCTGTTTAAAGGCTATTTCTGGATACTCGATTTAACTAAAAGTTTTAGTTTCAATGAAATTAAATTTTTCATATTAAAACAAAGTACAAATAGAATTACAAAATTGTATTCAATATAGTGTATTGTTACTAATCCAAACCAATTTTGTTTATTTTTCCATGAAATTCTCTAGTTAAAAATTTGTAAAACTAATATATACTACACATTTTAATGTAAATATAGCATAAACCTTTTTTAATCCTTTATAAGCTAGGAGACCAGGACTGTGTTCAGTAATGTAAATGTTAAGTAAGAAGTCTAATTGGCTATGAAGGCAAAGCATTGTTCTGAGTCAGTGAATCGGCCAGTTCTATTTTAAAATAGCGGAAGAATTAAAAATGGTTATTCGTTCATGCATCACAAGCAATTTTAGTATATAAAAAGTATGCTGACTGAACTTTAGTGTAACCCTGATTATCCAAGCCAATGTGGACCGATGCTAACTTGAATAAAACAGATGGATCACTACTGTTGCCATTGTGGGTCTAGCCAAACTCATGATGGGCATGAATAAAACTCCTCTTAGTGCTCACAGGATAAAATGAAGAATATGTAAGCTATTGTAAAAACTTGAAGTCCGGTAAATCCAGACATTTACCATTATTAGTAGTACAGTCCGAAATCCTTAATAAAATGCCACATTTTGGGCTTTTACCAAGAAATATTGGTAAATGTCCAGATTTTCCAATCAGCTTGTGTAATTTTTAATGACGACATAAATACATTTATCATACTTGTAACCCAAGAAGTTTAAAAATTTTTAAACACCTTTATTCGAAGATAACATTCATTAATTAACATAAACACCATACTGCATAAACAAAACATTTAAAAAAAAAAAGTTTATCACAACACATTTTAATTTTTATTACTTGTATGTCTGTAGTTTTTAGCCTCTGGGTTAACAAATCTAACAGCCACTGCCAAACAAATACTCCTATTTTATTTGTCGAGCTCTGGTTATAAACACTAAGTAATAGTAAAATAGAAAAAAATTTATAACTTTAAACAGATTTATATGAATGATAATTCATGTGTTGATAGAGAAAAGTTACTTGTTGCAACAAGGTTGATTGTTGTGCAATTCTACGTGTCATAATAAAGATGATGTTTTTGTTGAACACTTTTTAAACCCTTGAACTCCAATGAAAGATAGTGTATGAGAAGTGTAAACTAATTTCTTCTTTTCCTACTCCTTTGATGATCATATTATTTTCTATGCACTGTATAAATTGATTCCTAGTATATAATGACTTCAGTTTTCTGATCTTAGTGGCTAATTGATGAAATTCATCATCATCAATATTTATGACCACAGCTATTATTGATTTTGCATCAATGTTTGCTCGGTCTACATCTGGTACTTTGTTTCTTAATTGTTTAACTGAAGGTTTGGAATTTTGTTACAAGAGGCTATTTTCATTTTCTTCACTTGCATTTCAAGGCGTTCTTTAGCAGTCTTTCGAAACGGCATCACTTCAGAAGTCGGAGTCACGTCACAGCTCCCGGGAGATAACGGCAGTCCGCCATCTGGGTTTCGAACAACGTGAAATGCTGCTTCCTTGACTGCTTCAACTGTATTTTCTTATCGATGACATGCAGCTTTGTTCTCTGTACTTTCTAGCTGGATTCTTATTTTAAACTTTTAATAAATTTAAAATAAAAGTACAGTAATTTACCCTGTTATTAATCCACAACTGTAAAGCTATTTGACTTCGAAAAAAGAGGGAAAGAAGTTTCTATTTACTTCCAGCACTGTACCCACATTGGGAGAGAAAATCAAAAATATAATCTTTGTGAGTTATTAAGGGTTCGCTTTTAAACTATCCGGATAATTTTGAAAATAGAAATGCCACAAACACTATTGTGATGACATGCGCCATGTAAAGTTTGAAAAAGAAGTAAATGATATAACCTAGTAGAATGAGACTGAATAGGGAATAGATTTAATTGAAAAGTATTGAATGATGGCGAGAAAAGATGTACCAACGCTTTGCTTCACTGTTTTGTATCCATAACGTGAGTTATAATTTTAATTAAATAATTACGAAAATCAATTTTGATTTAAATTATTTTTTCTAAACCAGTATTGGAGAATCTGACAGGAACAATTCGGGTGAAATGATATCTTCCGCGAATAGTTGCAAAAGTTTTGCCACCCATAGTTTAAGAAGCTTAGTCTACGCGATCACCAAGAACCAAAATGGCAGCGGTTCTTCAGAGGGCCTAAAGCGAAAAATTCCGAATTTGTTAAAAGTTGTACGAAATTTTTTGTTTTGTTTTGCTGTATTTGAGACCTGACAATTTTCTAACGGTGAAAACTTTCAAACTTCTTTTTTCTAATCAATTTTTGAATTCGTGGAAATGCGACATTGCAACTACGAATGAAGGAAAGCAAAAGGAATTTTTAAAATCAAATATCTTTATAAAACGGCCGCATTAATTTTTCAAATGTCTAAAGTACAATAAAAAAAGGGGGAACTTAATTTTTCCCGCATCCTTAGCGTTGCATTGAACAGCACTTGATGTTATTGAGCGTTGTGATATGCAAATCATTACGACGGATGAGCGATTGCAAGAGACTTTGTGCGTTTTTCTTACTGAAGTTTATTCTAAGGTAAGCTAATTTTGAAAATTCCTAACTTTAAGAACTTCATCTAAACTCTGGATCGAAAAACCCCAGAAATTTTTCGGAAGTTAGACCGTCCTTTATCACCAGGCCGAACCAATGGGGCGATCTGGCAATGGGCTTGCTAAAAAAAAAAAAGGCCTTCAGGGCGGAAGGAGATTTGTAATCATTTCTTATATTTTTTAAATGTGTACAGGATAGTGTCAAATGTAATCTTCATTTGTCGAAAATAAATTCAGTTTGGAGAAAGGATTAACGAAAATTAAGAAAATTCCAGTGGGGAACACTAATATGGGAAATTATGATGAATATGATTAATGGCACCCGCACCATTACTCATACCAACGTGAAAAGTGTGCGCGTTTTAAAATGAAAAATAAATCGCTAATTACTGATTTCAATATCATTAATTTGAATATGAGGCGCGTGTTTACTAGTTCACAATAAATTATTTTTATTGTGAACTAATCATTAAATTTTTATTCGTATTCGTTTTATTTCGGCCATTGACGGGAATATATATGTATATAAATAATCGTTATTTGCAAGTTATTTTCTATGCATTCAAAAACAAACGTTCCCGAAAAATGGCCGCCGATGTATGGTAAAGTAACTAACTACAAAGGGGTGTTTCACGTTCCAGTCTATTTCAGTATTTACATGGAAAAAAGGCAAGATTAGTGAACGAAAACCACCTGGATTTCAGTATTTAAGATGTCCCTCTCTACCCTCATTTGACACTTTCTTTTATTAAGGCTGAAATTTTAATTTCTTACCGTTTTCTAACTTGTATTATAAGTTATTTAATAATAATCTATTTTATTTTAATTAATATAAAGCGGATTTTGATTCGATGGAGCTAAAAATGACGTCGTTATTGTTTTAATTTCTTCGCTTCATTTTTACTTCCGGTTTCGGTTTATTTAGAAAAAATGGCTGAGTCTAGTCTGTAAACAAGGCGAAACAATGGATACGATTCTAGCTCGTGAATGACATGGTAAAAACCCACCTACAGGACCGATTGTGTCTAAATAATCGTGGTCCTAAACGTGACCCTTCACTAGATATTTACCGTACGTTTCTGCTGAGCAGTAGCGCTGTTTCGGAACAAGTTTGGTATTTTGACGTCACATGTAGTGTAAATGAAAGACATTACTAAATATCGCTAGCTGCAACTGACCAATGATGGCTGCTTCCTGTTCCAATGCGTGTATGTACTGTACGACCCGTTTCAGACGTATCACGAAGTGACAGTATTCGATTGAGTGCCATAGCGTATTTAACGCTACTTTTTTACTGTAGTATTGTATTATTGCACATCGTGGACTCTGACGAAAAACTCATTTTTCTCTAATTTTACAATGTCGTCGTCTACCACGACGTTCGGTTATTGTGAATTCACTTAACCCGTTGCTGTTCAATTTCGATAATAAATTTCTGTCAATATTTGTCAAGTTGCTGACTGACTGTGAAGAATTTGCAAATTCTTCACAGTCAATCAGTCAGCAAACAATCAAGAATTGAATTTTAAGGTATGCATCCATATTTACACTTATTTAACCCGTCTTACCTTATTATCATTGCGTTATAAATACAGAAATTACAGCTATGCTCAACACCTAATTAATTTCCACCTACCCTATAGAATAGATTGGGTAGTAATATAAAATTGCGCATTTTCCTAAATAAAAACTATTTAACGTTGAAATAAAACTATTTTATTTTCTTTAGAACTTTTTCTTGACTGGTAGAAATACTTTTTTTTAAAAGAAAAACAAACTTTTCTACCAGTCAAGAAACTTTTTTTTTTTTTTTAAAGTTAGCCAAAGGTAGGACCGAATCTACATCGCCCGCATGGCAAGCAAGTTCGCTACAGAATCAGCCATTTCGCTGTGCTGCCATAGTGTAAAATCGACCAATACAGTCGACCTTCCTATAACACTGTTGATTATTCGGAAAACGGAATAATCAACAGTGTTATAGGGGGGTCGACTGTATATTAAAACTTTAGAGCCCTTTTTGTTGGAATCTTCTGGCTAGTGCGCTTTACAATTCTTCTGGATGGACACCCTTGAGGTATACTACTAACCTGCGAAGTCTCATCCCAAACTGAATTTCTGAGACTGTAAGGTCCCCTTATAAGTGTTGCATTGCCTGAATTAACTAAAATAGTTCAGAAAAAATAAATTTGTATTATAAATAGAAACAGTTTGATATTTTAATATTTCAATAATAAGTTTTTCATAAACTCACTTTTAATTGCAGTAGTTTTGAATTTGGATTTGAACTGATCTAAAATTTGTGATGAATATACATTACATGAATTTTAAAAGATGGCCAGTTGTGGCAAAATTCTACCTTTGACAATGGAAATAAAGATGTGTGAATGTTTTATAATAAAAATTAGATAATTAAATTTATTCCAATGATATTTATTATTATTTTAAATTTAAAAATGAGTTTTAGTGTTTAAAAATTCAGATTTTACATGTTCTTTTTATATATACAAACTGACAATTCTACAATTTAATTTAAAATTTTATTATTCAATAGCATTTATTTTTTCTTACTTTTATGCCAAATTAAATAGTCTGGATGAAAATTAATTATTGAACTTTGGCAATCAAAATGTTTTTATTCCAACAGTGTTACTTTATATACATCATCTACACTGGACTAGAAAGCCACACTTTTAACTTATCCAAACTCATCTTTGAACCAACGAAAACATTTATCCACATTGACTTTTTGTTCCACAGGACAACACTCGGTGGCAATATTAATAAAACCACAAATCACAAATTGGTGCATTGCATTTCTGAAAGCACCGGATTAATGTTGCAATTTAATTATTTGTACTCACGGAGCAAATGTATCTTATGCAAGCTAGCAACAATTAATCTACGAAGCTGCTGTAACAGGTCGATTGCAAAAAATTCCCACAAACTGATTACTGTACAATTAAAAAAAAAAAAAATTTAAGATTTTCTTTTCCAGACTTAAAAATGCAATGCACAGACAATTTATATATATATATATAAAGTCTCATAGAACTTACAACTAACAAGGTTCTGTTAAAAAACAACTACACAAATTTATTGTAAAAACAAATAACAGAAAATTGTATAAATTTATATCACAAAAAGACAATTTTCTATATATAATTATTATTTTGACAGATGCATTTCAAACAAGCTTATAAAGCTACAAACGTACAATAAAATTTTATACTAAAAAAAGTATATTACAGAAATCGTTTTACCTGTTTCGAATATTATCTCGGTATCTATATACAATTAATAGCATAGGCAAGTATTTTACAGAATTAAACGGACTTGCTGCTATTTCAACAGATTTGCAATATCTTACCTTAACATCTATTTTGGGATGACTATTTTAAGTACAGAATATTAAGAAGCTTGAAAGAACTATGTAACGTATCTAAAATTTGAGTTATTAATAGAATAAATATATATATTTTTTTGAGATTATTTATATAACAGCCAAAACATTAATTAACCAAAAATTAAAAAATAATTTCCTTTTAAATGCCATTAAATTTTTCTTTAAACATTTATTCGTGATGAAAAAAAATCAAATGTAACATGCATTCAATATGAATCAATTTGTACTTTAAAAATGGTTCATATAAAATAAATGACTGATAAATCATTAAAGCCAATCAATGACTAGAATTTTTTTTTTTTATCTTTTTCTTAAATGACAATTAAAACTTTTCATTCTATTAAAATACAGTACATTTTTCCTATAAAATGTTCATAAAATTTTGGGATAAAAAATATGTTTGTATTAAAAAAAATCCTCTTTTTTGATTTAAGTAGATGGGTGAAAAATAATGTAAACAATTAAAGTTATAAGAATTATGCATATAGGTATAACTTCGATTTTATGTAAAGGGATTAAAGAATTAAAATGTAAATACATATATAATACATTAGCAGTTCCCAAATTGTGGTATGTACAGTACACCATTAATGATACAAGTAACTTCTACAACTAGTGTAAACATAGTACTAAAATTTAACTTCTGCAAGAATCTATGATAAAAGTGCAATAAATAAATTAATTTTTGATATTAAATCTAAACAATTTCCTTAATCTAACATAGATGAAGTTTTGTAGGATTATTGTTACTAAATCCTACCAAAAGAAAAACTTTTCGTGTTTATTGGTATGTAAGAAAACAATTTGGAAACTGCTGAATTAGACGATAGAATAATATAATGATTTATAAATTATTTTTTCAATAAGATTGAAAATCTCAAAATCATTCTGTGTATTAATTGCTGCTTAAGGAATATCATTTCAAATTTGAATATATTAGCTATCTTAAAGTTTTCATATCCAATTTGTTTATACCATCTTAGACTTTCACGTATACCAATCCGAAAAGAAGGAAAATTCAACCTCGAGAAGATGTATTTATGTCGATGAATGCATTTCTACATAATTTTTTTTAAATCTTTGAAAAAGATGCTATACGATATCACCCATTAGAGAGCTCAAACACTCAATCTATATTGCATAATTTATATTACAGGATATGTTCTGCAAAGTTTAGTTGAGCATTCTTTATACAATCATTTATTTTGAAAATAAATTTTGTCATGGAAAATAAAGATTTAAATTCAATCAATTTTAGGTTTTAAAAGCATCGTTTTAAGTATAAATATTTAAATCACACAACCTTTTTTTCTTCAAGCATACTCAATGCACTATTTATATTTCAAATATATAACAGTGCATTATGAAATTTTTTTTCTTCTTAAATAAAAAAGAAAATAGCCTTTCAGACCATTATTTTCTCACAATTTGAAAACCATCATGATTCCAGTTTCTAAAACTGCTTTCACAACAATCAATTTTATAGGAAAGTTACTCATACATCTTAAACATTTTATATTATTTTTTTTGGACATAAGATATAACAATTTTTTTTTATGAGATCAATATACTGTTAACAAATAGCTCCTCTTTTCTTGTTTGCAATTTACCTTTTTTCCTAAATCAGTTTTAATTCTATAGCATATATAGTGACGTATTCCATAAATTACAAAATTCTTCAGAAAATATAGCTAATTCAAACACTTAATATAACAGACTATTTTCTGTTCATTTTTGGAAAGATTACAAATTCTTAGATGATAATAAACTCAATTTATCTTTAGATTAAGTTTTGGGTTTATTATTATCAAGAAAAGAATATTTTTTCTTTTCTTTTTTAGGCAGCTTATGATCAAGCTCATGCAACTATTTCTAGTGTGTCTTGGACAAGTGTTTCTAGTTTGCTTTTTTTTTCTTTCTTTTTTTTCAACTACAAGCAATAATTAAAGACATTCACATCAATTTTGTATGCTCACAAGGAAAGAGGACAGATATCCAGCAATAAGCCATATTCTATAAATCACATAACCACAGCAATACAACAAATGGATACTTAGCACTCACTTTTTGTAGTGCACTAGTGAGTATTGACAACAATAAAAAGATGGGCCTATAGTAGTTACATAAAAGAGAGGCACCAATGGAAATAAGACTGTGATTGTGAAGATGGATGTCCAACTTGACATTACTCTGTCAATTACAAATCTACCTTTACTGCTTCCTATGCATCATTACCCTGAAGTCTCTTAACTTGATCACAATATATATACAGATGTCTGTAGGTGAAGCAAAAGGCAGTGACAATATAAATATTATTCTTTTTTTTTTCAAAACCATTATGCCAGAAGACTTTTGATCTGTTTTGGAGTTGTCTCATCATTCAGATGCCTTGTTGTATATCTAGAAAAAAGTAAAAATTTTTGAAGTCGATTATTTGATTAAAATAATAAAGTGAATATTTACCTTAGAGCATTAAGAAGACCTTCAACAACATTCGGAGGTTGATCTTTCAACACTTTAATTGAACCCTTTACCTAAAATAGAAAAAAAAAATCAAAAAACAAGCAAACAATTAAAACTAAAATATCACATATACCAACATCTTTACGAATATATAAAACTTTATACTAAATAGACAAGTCAGCCACTTCAGTTATCTCCCAGCAACTACTATAAAATGTTTCAACTATCTAGCTTTTGTTTCTATTATTCTAGAGACTTAAAATGAAAAAATCGAAAATCCTGCTGACTGAAATGCAACCAGGAATTTGTTTTTTGGATGCAGAAAATATTTGACTATTTAAAATTAACTGCAGGCATGTTGCAGTGTTTGAGAAATGGGTAATGAATGAGAGTAATGTTCAAAAATGGTGCTGTTTGTTTGATGGTGGTATAACTTTTACAATGAGAAACATATTGAATGATCCTCCATCATCATTCAGGAAAACTGACACTTCTGTTAGAGGAAATTTATGCTTTACTCTTGATGAACTACAAATGAAACTTCCACAAATTTCCCAATCTTTCATCCAAAAAAAAATCACATCACATATCACTTTGGACACCTAAAGTCCGTGCAAAATGATTGCTGAACTCATGTTTGCAGCATTATCACGAAGGATATGACTCATCAGAAGTGATGAAATGTGAGTGTCTCACTTCACACCAGAGAGTAAGTAGTAATCTCTGGAATATCATCTTGTAACCACCATGTACCCACCAAGCCCAAAAAATTTAAACAGACACTGTCAGTTCAGAAAGTGATGAACATTGTTTTTTTGGGACAAGAAAGGTCCAATTTTAATAAAGTTTAAGCCAAAGAATGGCAAAATTAATATAAGGTTGGTGGAGCCACTTGAGAGTAAGCTCTTACTGCTACATGACAATGCACATCCACAATGTTGCTGGAGTTGATTCAGCAATTTGATTGGAGAGTTTTAGAACATTCATCTTACAGTCCAGACCTTGTTCTGTCAGATTAACCAACTTTTCAAACATTTAAACTTTCTTGGCAGCAAGTGTTTGAAAATTGAAGATGACATTAAAGCTACAATGAATTACTGGCAAAATGCAAATGTGACAATTTCTATAATGATGGATTTCAGAAGCTTGTGTTCCTCTATGACAAATGCCTAAATGACCATAGAAAGTATGTCAAAAATTAATCTAAGTAAGTATTGTTATTATAATAAAGTTGTATTTTTCAAATTTTCTTAATTTTCACAACTAAATGGTTCTTACTTTCTGGAAGATCCACATTGTAAACAAATTAACTGTTATATGTTCATTTTAAACTGAAATAATTCACACACACACAATATAACTTGTTTAAAATTAAATATACACTCAATGACAAAAAAATTATTCACCAAGAAAGAAGCATTGGAATTGAATGAAACTTTACAGTGAAAACATGATGATGATGATGATAAGTGATTACATCATCATAGCAAAGGGATAATTTCCAGTGGAACAATGGTACGATTTAAAGGAATAGTAACTTGTAGGACCTGCTCCTGCCTAAATACATGATTCATATTAAAATATAACTATGGTAATACACATACATAATACACAAAAAATATTCTCAGAGTTTTCATTTTATCCATCATGATTCTGCTGTATATTTAATCATTTATAATAAATCACAAATAATAATTTATCCATATAGAATCAAATATTTGCACTCATTAATAAGCTTTCTATATAAGTTCTTAAAATTAGTTTCATAACTAATCAAGTATTATTAATATATTTTATAGCATATAGGACACACTTAAAAATGCTGAGTCTTACATGCAAAGGAGAAGCCTCTGGTAGGAACATTTACCACATACGTGGATGACTAGGATACTGTTATTTCTACCTAGCAAGTATTACTATCTAAGCCAGATAACCTAAGAAACAGTTTTACAGAACTAAACTTTTCAAAATTAAATAGTAACTGTTTCTGAATTCATGTGAGTACTATCTATATCTTGTCTACCATGTTAATCTTGATCATTTTACTTCGAAACATCCTTTACCTTTTTGACAGAAACTTGAAAATAAGCTGATAAAGATGAATAACTCCAACATTCTTCAGTATCAGTTCTGATAGGTTGCCAATTTTATTATAGTATCATTATTAAAAAAATTTTTCATGATAGCCTAGTTTCATGTTTCATCTGCAATTTTCCTACTTTATCCCACATAGCATTCAACAAACATTAAAAACTTAAATACACTAAAAAGTTTTCCGTGATTATTATCTGCTGAAATTTCTGTATGTCTAATGTGTATGTGCATTTTATATACAATCAAATATGGTAAAGTAGATCTTTATGATCTAGTGTTATACATCATAATCATAATTAAAATATGTAGCACAATCAACTTTTGTAATTATTATTAACAGAACTTACATCAAAAATTATGTTTTGTAAATTAATGTTGCCAATGCAAAATAAGAACTTGATATATTTTTCAACTAAAGCATTAAAACTTTACCCAGAGAAAAAATTCTGGTATAATAATTAATTTTAATTAAGTACATCCATTTCATCAAACCACAATTTTTTATAATTTAAATAAACACCAAACTAATTCCAATTTCTTTACAAAAAGATTAAGCAATTAGATATATTCTAATAGAACAATTTCAAGTTTTTCTTTACATCACTACTGGGTGCATAGGTTTACTTACACAGGAATATCTTACACACCAATAACAGTGTATACTGCTATTGGTGTGTAAGATATTCCTGAATAAAGAGTGATGTTAAAGAAGCAAGTGTCTACCCATGCACCCAGTTGTGAAGTAAAGAATAATTAGAAGAAGACATGGTTTTGGAATAAATTAATAATTTCAAGTCTAATTTCAAAAATATATCAAGCTTTAAACAAATTCTTGTTCAGGAAATAAAGGTAACATTTTATTCATTAGTATTTTTTAAATCTAACATACAAATAGTTTATTAAAAATTTACATTTGATTGAAATTAGAATAAAGAATGCTATAATTATTATTTTACCAAGACTTAATACATACATCAATATGAGATGATTTGGCAAATGCTCCAACCGGATGAACGTGGTCATATAATATAATAACACCAACCATAACCCGAAGAACAAAGAGAACTGTTTCTTCATTTTTAAACCTTGAATAAAATTCCCTATATAAACAATAATTATTATATATAATTTTATAATAAAAATTTACTAAATACTTAAAATACTAAAATCGGAAAACAAATTTTGGCTTCAGTTTTTATGAAAACGGCATCTATTACTTTTGTTTATTTAAAAGTTATTTAATAACTTAAAACCAAAAATATATATTTAATTCAAAATTCAACACTTTCTTTTTTTGTTATGCCCCAGTATTTATTTCTCCACAGCACAAATATTTTTCAGCTCTCTTTACATGCCATCTGCAGATAGCTTTTTAAATTTTAATTATATCAATTCAATAGCATGTTTAATTTGTAAGAGTTAACCACTGGAGGCAATTTGACCAATTGTGATCTGGGATTATGAATGGATGTTCTTTAAAGATTTCTTTTTTTTTCTTTTTATTTAGTTTTCAATAATGTAAATTTTTAAAATCATTCTTCAATTTTATTTCAATTTAATTACAGCATTATTTGCATTTGTGATTTATAGTATAAAAAAAATTATGCTTAAAAAAATAAACTACATCTTAACATGCCTCTGTAGGAAAAAATCTAATGGAGACAGATTGAATGATGATTTTAATCCACCAGATAATCAGTAATTTTACTATTACTAAACTACTGATTATTTTACTAAATTTATTCTAATAAACTAAAATACATTTAATAATTATTTTTGTCTATAAAAATTAGAATTAGTTTATTCTAATGCATTGCATACATTGTTTTAATCATGAGAGGAAAAACCCAAAAACCAAACATTTCTGCAGTTTTAAAGTGCATGATGACTTAAAAGACATCCCTGTACACACAAACACACATATTGATTAGAAACTGTAACCAATAATTGGACTGCAATTTGAAAAAATTGTAGTCCTATAAATTCCGACTGTTGTAGTCCATCTGTCTATCTTTCCTTAATCTTGAGATTGGAGTTAAATAGATGAAATCCAAGACCAGATATGAAAACCTTAGGAGCAGGCAGCCCAGATTAACTATATATGAACTTCCAATGAAAACTGGAAGGCATGTTATTTCAATTAAAAAATTTTTTCCTGAAAGGAGTTAGATAAATGACCAGCATGACTCCATTGTTAACAAAAAAATATGCCATACAGAGGCAAGACACTGCAGTACTAACTTGAGAAGAGGATATATTTTAAATTAAATAAATTAAAAATTGCAGCCCAACATTGTGACAATTTCACAATAAATAATTGATCATTTTAATAATATCACATTTCTCCGAAAATAAGCCTTAGCATGATTTTTCAGGATGCTCATAATATAAGCCCTACCCCTAAAATAAGCTCCTCTTAAGATCATCATCCAGATGGTTGTATTTGATATGCTCATTGCAACCCACAACAGACATACTGAACTATAAAATAACTAGCTGTGCCTGCAGTTTCGCCCACATGGAATTCAGTTTGTGACTATAACAGTATCAGTTAGATGATATCTTTTAATTTATATGAATGTTTTAGGAACGCATACAGGACAAAAGATATTCATTATTTTAAGCGACAACAAATAGGCAAATGTTCAGCACAAGTTCAGACACATGCACTGCGTATCTCATCGACCACAGGACTGCACCGTGCGGTTACCTATCTTGTATACATGCACGTCTTGCCCCGCGCCACCTGCTGACACCAAAAATATAACGCTTACCTAGATGATATCTTTTAATTTATATGAATGTTTAATGGAATAATATACAGCCTATGTCCACCCTGAAGGTCCATTCTAAATATTGGTGAAAGAATTTTTGAAATCGGACGAGTAGTTTTGGAGATTACCTCCTACATCCAAACTTACAAACTTTATCTCTTTATAATGTTAGTATAGATAATATTAATATTGACACTAATACAGATATACCTCGACTTACGTCATTCTCAATTATACGTCGTTTGTCAAAAAATATATGGAAAAATAAAAATCAAGTTTAAGTCATTTTATTCGACTTTACGTCTGTCTGCCACAAATGTTAAAGTTGTAATATCACTATAAAAGCGTTAAAGCACATAAAATCATATTAAAATATATACATTTACAGTAAATGTTAATATAATTATCATAAATCTTAGAGAACAAAACATGAAAACGTATGTGTTTCTGTGTTGTCATCTTATTTAGCGGTCTTTAAATGCTCAATGTNCACTATAAAAGCGTTAAAGCACATAAAATCATATTAAAATATATACATTTACAGTAAATGTTAATATAATTATCATAAATCTTAGAGAACAAAACATGAAAACGTATGTGTTTCTGTGTTGTCATCTTATTTAGCGGTCTTTAAATGCTCAATGTTGGTGTTTTCCACGGTAGCTCCAACATTACCATTTGGCATCCTTGTCAGTGCCACTCAATATTGGTAAATTTAATATAAATTAGTTTATTTTTTACTGTTGCAAAATAATTTTAATAACTGTATTTGTTATTTAACCTTACAAAATCATCTTATTTTATAATGTCTTGGAGCAAACTACATTCACACATAAAAAGTCTGCAATGTACTGTAAACATCACCAAATTGTAAACATGTACAGTATATTTACAAGTATGTACTGTACATTCATGAATTCACAAAATTTAGATTACTTTTTTCTATACTATATTAAAAACTAAAATTTATTTAAAAATTAAAATAGATTCTTATTAACCATATATTATTAAAAATGCATTTATAAATAAAATACAAAACTGGGAATGGTTATTTGTGGTTTAGCCTAGTGACAAGTAAATTAGACTTAAGTCGTTTTTCGACTTAAGTCGCCTCTCCTGGAACCAATTACAGATGTAAAGTGAGGTATACCTGTACTTACTTAATTATAATTTATATTATTATTTATTTTATTTGTAAATTTTGCAAGTGCCTTTGGATGAGACATCCCCTGAAAATAAGACCTAATGCATTTTATGGAGCAAAAATTATATTAATATAAGACCTGGTGTTATTTTTGGGGAATATTAAATATTGAATGTATGGAATATGCTAAGTTTTATAAATTTCAGTAATTAAAATCAGCATGGAAAACAAACAATAAAACTAAATTATCAATTTTGTTTTGTTTAAACCTTAATATACTTACGGATTTTCCACCATTCTTTGACACACTTTGGCCATTGTACCTAATGTCTCAGTAGTATTTTCTATTGGTAAATCTTTATTTTCAGCAACAAAACGTGTAGTAGCATCACTTAATACTTTCAGCATAGGTGTAGCATGAGCATAGAATAAGGACATTCTATTAGCTAGTTCATTTGGAACTTCTAATTCTTCTTCAATAGGATCCTAATAAGTAAATAAATTATAATTCAACTTAATTCTGTATTTACAATCTGCATCAAATATGAAGTAACTGTTCAAAATTTTGATTTAAAATATGAAATCAGTCATATAATATCAAATTTTACTATTTATTTTTAGAATGTAAGAGTATGTAAAAAAGGATATATAAAAAAATTTGTTAAAGTATAGAATTCATAAATATTAATATAATAAAAAAAAGTCAAAAAAACCTTTAATCCAGCAAGAACTCAAAAAAGTTTTTTGTTATCTTGAATAGTGATCATCAGATTTAAAAATTCTGTGGTGATTGTGTTCTAGAATGTCAGTTTGAAAAACAAATTCTATGCAATGACGTCACATTGTTTGGAGATGTCTCTGCAAAAATTTGTATCTTTATATTTATTAAAACATTGGGATTCAGAAGTGACAGACCATGCATCATCCACAGAAGTACATTTATCTGTAGATGATCTGCCATGTATTGGATAAGTTTTCCGAGTTTCTGATTTTTGCAATGACATCACCAAACAGCATGAAGTACTGGAATGAGCACTATACTTGAATTTATTTTTTGAACTGACATTCTAGAACACAAATTCTACAGAACATTCAAACCTAAGACAGTTATTCAAGATAGCCAAAGCATTTGTTTTTTCATGTTATAAGTACCTGCTGGATTAAAGATTTTTTGATTTTTATTTATGTATCAATCAGTTTGATACTATTCTGTTGATATTAATATAATATAATAATAAATAAAAAAGTGTTAAGGTTTAAAAAATAAACATATGGAAAAATTACAAAAACAATGACGAAAGACAAAAATCAACAAAAACGACTGCAACATCATCATGAAATAAAATTCATACCAGTGATTACAGTAATTTGAATATTATACTATTCAAATTACTGTTAAAATGTATAAAATGATATTTATCATTAAGGTAACTGATGACAAATCAATAATGAATATTGTACAAAGGAAACATTAAATAAATAGATGAGTAATATCAAATTACAATGCAAAAGAGACAAGTAAAAATGCAAAATAAAAGTTAATTTTATATTTTAGTACTATAGTTGATTTTTATCTTAAAAATAAAAATCAATATTGATATAATATTAGTAACAGTAAATAAATTACTATTATATTATTATTACTATATGTATGGCATTTTATTTAGAACTGAAAATAGGCAGCATTTGTTTTTTACTTAATATAACAATAATAATTATTTTATTGATATAGAAACTTAGCAATGTAATTTATATAAGGGGGTACATTTTAACACATACTCAAAAATAATTCAGAAAATTTATTCAGCTTATATAATCTAGTGTTAATTACTATACAGAAAACTGAAACAAAAGTCAGAATTAAATATAGGTTCTTTCACATTTGTTAACATAATACATGCATTAACACTTTCTGCTCTATGGATAAGTCTCTCTCATCAAGCCAGTTTTCCTCTAAAAGACAAGTAAATCTCACTGATAAATTCACAGTTTGATATGTTATTTTATGAAGCTGAATGGCATAAACTTGTCTGTAATTGAAGTAGGAAGCATGTTTAACAGAAAAAAAATTATCACTTTCACAACTAAGTGGCACAACTAAGTGGCACATATAATATTTCAATACTTTGTAAAATTGTTGTAGGCAGATACGTTTGAACCTTCAGATAAAGCTTGATTCAATTAAAATAATATTAAATAAATAAGATACAAGGTATAATTCAGATCATTTAGTCTATGGTAAAATTGGTTTTTTTATACATTGTTTTGCTTAACATTGCAGTTTCCAAGAACCTATCAATGAAATTAAGTGAGGACTTGCTGTATAATTCAATGTAGTTTTGAAAAATTTCTGAAACTAATTATGTTTCCACTAAATATGTATTGAGTGATAAACTGTTATTACAGCTAGTAAAATAGAAGTAGATTAGCAGAAGAGACTATTGTTGACTATTTTTTTTTCATCTTACAACACAAATACACAAGATCCTTAAATATCTGCAGCAATGAATTTTAATATAAGAAAAAATACAACAAATGTTTTTGATCTATAAATAATATCTGCATCAGATTTTACAAAAGACTCCAAACTGGAATGCAAGACACAACATGATGTATTTCAAATATTCCAAATGCATATCAAATATATAAAAATTACACAATTACATAAATATATTTTGTTGAATTTTAAACAATATTTGTGAAGTGTATAGGTATCTATAACACTTCACAAATATTGTTTAAAATTCAACAAAATATATTTGCACTCATATAACATACATAAATATTATAAAATAATAAAAGTAAAAATATAAAACAAATATTTTAAGGATAATGTTAAAAGATTATATATATTTTATATCATTTTAACAAAGAAATTAATAGAAATGGCTGTATAAAACTAACAAGGAGACCCTACGGCTTTGGGGAAACGGATTTTGATGATTTTTGGTGTAGAGAATTATTTTTGAAAAGTAAACTCTCATAATACACTACTCCATCTTTTAGCCGCTGCTTCAATACATCACTGTATAAAGAGTTATCATCAACAGTTTTTTGTCACAACATGAAGAACTTGCTTCTCTTGATGACATTTTTTTAATTATAAAATAATTTTTCAAAATAAATTTCACTGCACAAATACATCTATTCATGTAGAAATTCAGAAACGAACTGTTAAAGAGTGAGTGAAAAAGAACTCCAATAGACAAAATTCTCCTAGTGAGAATTAGATCGGAGGTCACTGTTGGTGATAACAATTAGATGGGAAAGTTGACACATAGGTGTCAAGAATGCACCATTATTGTCAATAAAAGTAAAAATATTAGAGTTGGAATAGTAGAAATTATAGTAGAAATACATTATAAGTATTTATGCATTAAAAAAAAAAAAAAGGAAAAAGTAAACAGAGGGGAATCAAACCCAAGTACTAGAGCGTATGAGTCAGGAGTGTTGCCAAATCAGCCACAGGACGCTCAAGCAGAAGTACGCATAACTTATATATAAAGCGCTAAAAAAATTTTAAGTTCGTTTTTCTCAAATATATTTGAGTGTTGCACTTTAGTATTTTACGGGTAGTACACTCACATGGTGTACTACCTATACACCAAACATCATCAAAATCCGTTTCCCCAAAGCCACAGGGGCTCCTTGTAAGCATTAAAAATGATAACAGTGTTATTACAATAGACAAAACTCAAAATATGTCTATGATATATATAGTCCAGTTTGTGATCTACTTCTTTTGGTCATATTTACTTCCACTCAGTTTTATGACAAAATATACATCTACTGTCTCAGTAGTGCACTCCCCTATAATGTGCCAAAGTTGTATAATGCAACATGATTAAACTTGCATAAAATTATCTGATAATGCATGTCTCATATAACATGATTTCTTAAAACAAGGAACATATCCAATGATGTATGGGAGACTGCTTTTTTTACACTTCATTTATAGTTTATATATACTGTAATTGTTAAGTGCTTTTTGAAGTCATGAATTCTGTGATGAGATTTTGTTAGTTTTAAGTCCATTTCAAGCTGTCCACTGTTCTTCCTTTTTCAGAAGATCTTCCTTACTGGAATGTCTGAGGTGAATCTCTGATCCAACTTGTCTACCTGATACAGTAGAACCTCGAAAACTCGGCCTAATGTGGACCGAAGGGTGGCCGAGTTTGTGAAAATGCCGGGTTATCGGGAATGGGGTTAAAAAAAATAAGTACGAGTGTTTCCTCAGAAAATACTGTACTGTACTTGTATGTATTGTTTACTTGAGAATACAACAGAGAATAAACTGCCCAAATACCCTTAAACAAAGGAAAAGTACGTCCTTTATGAAGGCATAGAGCCTTTACTACATGAAAATGAAAATTAATGAATACACTGTGTACAGTAATTTACCTGATAAGACAGACCTCAGAAAAATACTTTATGAGAGCTTTTATACTTTTATAAAGCTGTCTATAATGAAAATTAATTAACTAAGGATTTTTTGCCCTGCCAGGGTGTGGCCGAGTTATCCGGAGTGCTGGGTTATCGAGAGCCGAGTTTTCGAGGTTCTACTGTATCACAAACTGCCATTATTTTTGCTTGTCTCCTTTTTACCCAAACCTGATCACCAGACAAACCAATCTGAGTCCTAGACTGATGACATTGGATTAAAAGATTACTGGCCTTGGGTCAAAGGCACTAGCTACTGCTACCATTCTCCACTTTATGACTGGAAAAGTTTGCAGGGCCATAAAACTCAGTCCAATAAAATATTGTTTTGCCAAGCCTAACAATTGATAAAGTTATAGCAAACTATAATGAACAAATCAAGCAACCAGAAGATTGGACTCCCAATCTTCACAATAAAAATAAGAATTTTCTGCTTTTAATTAAAGGCAGCAGCAAATTCTTGTTTGCTTTATTTCATTATACAAATTAAAATTTAATAAGCCAAAGAAAAGATTCTGAGAGGTATTCCCAAATAACATATATATATTCTAATAAGTTTACAATAATTCCAACATTACCACTATGATTTTACCATCATCAAAGACATAGATTTTACCAGGGCTGTGGAGTCGCGAAAAATCTACTGACTCCAACTCCGACTTTTCCTTACCACCCGACCCCGTTTCATATACATAACAAGTTGGTAAGTAAAAGGGAGTCGGAGTCAGCGGATTTTTTGATGACTCCGACTAAAATACCAAAACTCCACGACTCCAACTACGACTCCACAGCCCTGGATTTTACACACACACACATACACGACTATATATATATATAGTCATCACTTTCTATTGTTTTGACTTTTATTAAGTATTATTATTTTGTTATGATTAAAATATTATGATACAATTTTTTTTTGTTTCCTGAATTCTGAATTTCCTAGAGAGAAATTATGTATGATGTTATAAGCAACTTATACATAATGATATTATTGTAAAACTGATCTAATATTTTAAATCTACAACTTAGAAAATGCTTTTTCTTTCATTTTTTAATAATTTCTTTAATATGTGATAAACAAATCAATGGAGATGATTGTTATATAAATTTATGTTACACTATTACATTAAAAAACCACACTGTTTAAATAAGAAAAATTTATAAAATTTACCTACTTGATTAGCCAATCTTAACCTGCTCACTGTTCGCCTATAATAACTGAAGTCATTTTGGATTGCAGGATTGGTCATCTGTAAGCAGTAAAGATACTTTACTTATTTATCAACAATTCTACTTAATTTAACACTAGCTTAGTTGAATAGTCAAACATAGTTTGAAGTATCTGTTCTCAGAAAATTCAAGTTAACAATTAATAGTTTTAAATTATATAGCTTTGAAAAAGAAAACAAGGTTTTTAAATTCTAGGATGTTCAGTGTTAGTTCATACATGTTAACATAGTGCAATTAAGATTTTAATATACCAGTTTTCTTTGGTTACAAATTAGTTTCTAATATGCATAGTGATACTATACACATTTCTAACATTTTCATAATTTTTCAAATGCCTATTGTACTTCAATACTAATTAGTACTGATTTCTGAGCATATGCTCTTCCTTCAAATGCTTCTATCATCCTGTAGCTCACTTTGAAAAATTAAATAAAAACTATTTAATATTTTTCATCTTTCTGATAATCTCTATAACTAAAATAAAAATTTTAATAGTCAGAAGATGATGATTATGATTATTATTGTGTTAGTAGCATGTATTCTACATGCCACACACGTTGAACTGGAGGAAGTTGAGTGGTGTGTTATGTGACAAGAAAGTTAGCTGCATACTGAAAGGTAAATTATACAAATCAGATGTTAGACCTGCAATGTTGTATGGGCCTGAGACATGAGCAATCCCAAGAGCCCAAGAAAGAAAGATGGAGGTGGCAGAGATGAGAATGTTGAGATGAATGTGTGGAGTGTCAAGGAAGGTTAGAATAAGGAAAGTTTATTAGAAGTTCTGTTAAGGTGGGTCCCTTGAGTAGGAAGATGCAAGAATGCAGGTTGAGGAGGTTTGGACACATAGAACAAAGTAGTGAAGATTATGTTGAAAAGAGGGTTGGAAAACTGGTAGTGAAAGGAAGGAGGAAGACCAAGATTGCATTGGAAAGATAAGGTGGAGGAAGACTTGAATCAGAGGAGACTCGAGAGAGAAGACGCCCTTGATAGAAAGAAACAAAGAAAACATATTAGAGAAGGAAATGCCGACCTCATATGAACATGGGAAAAGGCGGAGATAAAGAAGAAGAAGAAGAAGTGACATATATTCTACAAAGAATATACACTAGTGCCTAATGCTATGCTGGCCCAAAGTCAAAGCTACTTTGGGTTAGCATAGCATTAGCTACAAAAAAGAAAAAAAAAAAAAAATGTTTTTTACACATGTTTGTGTATGTATTTGTTTTTTAAGACTTAATTTCAAGACTGACATATGTTTAATATGGTAATCTTCTATACTGTGATGTTTCCTGTTGTGAAGCCCTAATGTTTCAAGACTTGTTATGACATCTGTGCAAGAAAGGATTACTGGGGCACAGTAAGTACTCCATTCCTCACAAATGCTTTATTTTGATGGCAAGTGGATTGTCTATTATGGTAACAAATGTATTTTGATGAAGCAGCCATATTTGAGCCATTGTTACATTTGCTACTGAGGGCCAAAGGAGACTCTGGCAGATTTTTTAAACGTGAGCATCTGCTTAACTCACAAATGCAGACTTTGTTAACCAGGATGACATCTGAGCTGATATCATGCTGTGAACACGTAACAACCATTTTTGTTTTCTTCACAGAAGCAGTTATGCTTATATAACCAAAGTCAGATGTTTATAGATCAGCCATTCACTTTGGATTGGATGCTACTTGTGAGTCACTCTTTCTCTCATAGACCCAAGATTCCAGTTGATGTCTGTGTTAAATATTAATTATTTATTTGTTATTTGTTAACCAAAGTCATAAATATAAATTAATATTTAACATAGACGTAATCAAAACAGCAAAATTATGCAATTTAACAAATCCAAAAATCATTTTTAATATTGAGATTTATAAATATTTAAATAAAAATAATACTATTTAAAATACTTACTTATTAACTAGCAATATTTAAATTGAAAACAATTCAAAAGTAATATCTTACTTTTAAATCATCAAATTTGAGAACAAAATCTAAAATTTCAGCAAACTGTTTAACCAAGGCCTGTTGAGTTTCAAGATGCTGTGTAGGAGGAATTTGTCCTGAACATAGTTCCCATAAAATTCGAGGCACCACATCATCTATTAATTTGCAACATTTATAATCATTTATAAAATTATATTATTTAACATTAAAAACATACCAAGTTGTTGTGAAAATTCATAGAATTGTTTCAATTTAGAAACTAATGGAATAACTGCTTCCCATGCTCTTGCCTGGTATGCTTCATTACAAGGATTAGTTATTGCCTATCATGAAATGTAATCTTAATTTCTGATAAGTAATAATTCAATAAAAAAATTAAAAACTAACCTCTCTTATTTCATTTACTGCTCCTTTATACATTTGCAACTCTAAAAGTATATCTCGAGAATATTGTAGAACTTCTTGTGCAATAGAATACGTTTCTTTTTCAGATTCAGTTGGTTGGGCATCTGAAACAAAAATATTTTTATTATAAACTTTATTAGAGTCAAATCAATCAAAAAAATAATTATAATTCTACTAAAATATAAAAATGATACAATTAAAATTTTGAATTTAGAAAGAGAGTTAGAAAAACTCAAATTATTCAAGATACTAATGACTAGGGTATTTGAGAGCTTGTATGCAACCCAGGGATAGAATGAGTCCCTTTAACCATTTTGATTTATTTTGAACAAATTAAATATGTAGAATGCAGTGGCATAGAATGGGCAAAGCCATGTGTGGCTGCACTTTGGCTCTACTTAAGCTTTGCAAAATTTCAAAAGAAACAAAAGAAAAAAATAGCATGTCCTCCCCACACAGAAAATCTCAATGCTTGAACATTCTACTTAGTTTTTTGACATGATGGCACAAGAAAAATACTATAAAATGTTTTACATGGCAATGTTTATTGCCATGTAACATTTTATAGTATTTTTCTCGCTAATTACAGCCATACTATCCTCACGTTAACCTTATCAGTGAATTACATAATACTTACTAATAGCATGAAAATATTGGTAATGTAATGTTCCATAACTTGCATAAAAATCATAATTAAAAAATTAATTTCACCAAGCTGCAACAGACACCTAGATAGCCTAGTGATTTTAGTTTATAGTTTGTTACATTCTCTATATACCATATACCAGGAGTGGGCAAGCAAGAGTTAAGTGGGAGCCAAAATGTAGGTTTTGCAAAATGCATGGGAGCTGCAGTTATGTACTTTTTTATTCTGTATTGCAATTTTATTATATAATATAAAACAAATATTGAATTTTTTTACTAAACATATTTTCACAAAATTGTGGAATTAAAATTGTAAAAATAATGGTGTAAGGAACCAAGTCTGAGCTTTATTTTTATTTTACTTTTATTTTGCTTTCATTATATTTTGTTTGGGGCTTATGTTTAGTTAAGACGAAGGTTTCCTCACCATTCACCTTAGTAACTTAAAAATAGAAGAAAAACCAACTCACCGACGAAAGAAAAGCGCCGTAGAAAAACTCGCGCACACTTGCGCTTCCCAAGCGGAAAAAAGTAAGTCCGCACCGAGAAAAAGGGGGGGAAGACCCCACAACCCAGTTAGGAATCGCTAAACCTTAAAAGAATAAAGCATCCCGATAATTGTTAAAAAGAATAATGTAAAAGGTTAGCGAAGTATTGTCGGAAAATAATCTGCCAGATAAACAAGAAAAATTTAATGTTACAGATAAGTATGTAAATGAGGAGAGTGAGCTCATTCAGAATTGTGACGTCACCTCACACTATAAAGCCTCTAACTCAAGTGAAAACGAACGAGGTGAATTCCTGATAGCAACGAGCTTTGGTGAGCTTCGTAGCAGTGAACGAGAGAGGTGTCCGATAGGATTTTGAAGTTATTCGATTTGTGGATCGACGATTATAGAAAGTCTTGAGAGTTTGAGGAAATAGGTTCCTAGTATATTGAGGTGACGATTAGGATCTTTAATTTATAAGAATTATTGTTTATAAGTTAATTCTTTGATTTTGTCGAATTCCAAAGGGGAATAGAATTAAGTTAGAAATAGATTGATTTGAGTTTGTCGGATTGATTCTTGTTGAATTTCATTGAATAAATTATTGTTTGATTTTTACTAAATACTGTATAGAGTTTATTAATAGAAGTTTAATTAAATATTTGATTTTGTTATTGACAAACTTTGTCATTATTTAATTCGGTGCACGCTTAAAGTCCAGGCCTGGCACACTAACGCGAATCCGCGTAAAGTACCCGTTAGGGAATGGCTATTTCCGGCACACAGTAGTGTCGATAATCGTTGGAAAGTCGGAAAAATAATATAGTACTTTACAATAATAATAAGCAGAAATTAACACTTCCAGCAAGAGCCGCATGTAACTCAAAAAGAGCCGCATTTGCCCATGTCTGCCATATTCTGAATGATTGAAGTTTTTGATGTTTCATTGATAGTTGTTAATGCAGTTTACTTGTAGTATATGATATTAACCAATGTTTACGAATTGTCATTTTATAACTTAGACACTTTTCTTGTGATTTACTTTTTATAACATTTATATCTGAGGTATGATGTAGCAGTACCATTATTTAGCTCTGTAAAGCATCTTGATGTTTTAATAAAAACAAGCCTAGTATTATTTTTACAAAGTTTGACTTTACCTTTTATACTTTCAATCACAAATAAGTGAATCTGATAATCAGAAATTTAAATTTAATGATTGATAATTTTTTTGATAAATTCATGTAATTCGTTATATCTTGCTGTATTTCATACAGTACTAGCAGATAAGCCCGGCATTGCTTGGGCAAAAAGTAACGATAGCAAAGATTAAGATTATTACATTACAGCCAATCTTACCCGTTTTCACAGAATGTAAGAATTAGGTTCCCCTGTTTCCAGACTAATTAGAAAATTTTTAGATGGGTCTAAAATTATGTTCAATTTAACACAAAAAAACCACATCTGTGCCTGTAAATCTTGCACGTTGCTTTCTCTTAACACTTCCATTGTTGATAAACTTAATCCTGCCCCTTTTCCCATGGGGAGATTTTGAAAAATCCCTTGTTAGTGTGCATTCTCATGATGTACCCTAACTATGTACCAAATTTCAAGTTTCAATTCCTAACTGTGCTGAAATGCTTACAATGAAATGCTCATATACACGTGCACCATCTATCGTAGGATAAATGTACTATGCCAGAAACCTTCACAGGAGTGTATTAAACAACTTCCCAAAGTTTCATGGCAATCGGATAAATGGTGTAGTAATGCATGAAGGACACACAGACAGACATACATTTGTTTTTATATATATATAGATTGAAATGTCTGCTATTGCATCAGGTATATAACAAAACTTTGATTGTATTCCCTCTTTGTCCACATTTGCTAACCACTTAACATCATACTTTAGGGCTGCACTCAAATTCTCATGCAGAATACTTGGAATACTGAAACTAGCATTATATACAGTATATACATGTATAATATACAGTATATCTAATTTACTCACCAATCCCCCTTTCAAACTTTTATTAATTCCTACAGGGTCAATACCAACCCCGTTAAGAAACTTTGATGTAGTGTCATGCCCTTAAGAAAATAGAGCCATTCAAGTAATTAAGCAATATCCAATGAAGGAAAAATAAATAAATACATGTTAGTGATCAGGAAAGCAGCAATTAAAATCAATTTTATCACATGATCTAGTTATTAACTATGCAAGTATTTCTTTTTAGGTTTTCTCCTCATGTCTTGCCTAGTCATGTAAATGAATTACCTGTTTATAAAAAGCACTGAGACTGATATGATATATAGAATTTTATGAAGTGCACACAGCAACTTGTGACCATCCTAAAATTTCTATTGATGATTTTATTTTATATATATTATACACGGCATTTTTTTAAGTAAGTACCGTTTTAAAATAGGGCCACTGCATTGCTGCAGTTGGTGTTCCGCAAATGTTTATTGAGTACCTACATCTGTTGGCTAGCCATAGATGCCATTACAGAAGCATTTGTTCATTTTATGTTTGTATGTTTGTGTGTGTGTGTTTAAAATGCCTCAGACAATTGAAAATCCTGCTGATTGTGAAGTACGCATGGTGAATCACTTTTTTAATGCATAAGACATGAAAGTGATTGACATTCATCACCAGATTAATGAGGCGAATAAAAGAAACATTATGAGTGATCGAATGGTAAGAAAATGGGTTAGAGCATTTAAAAATGGCCATACTAATGTCCATGATGAGGAGCATAGTGGGCGACTGTCTGTCATTACTGAAGACTTGGTGCAGAAAGTTGATGCAAAATTTTGAGAAAACAGACACTTTACGATTTTGTCATCCAAAACAAAAGGCATGGTAAGCTCAGTAAAGGGATTGTTTTGCTTCATAACAATGCCCGTCCACACGTGGCTCAACGAACTCAAGACCTTATCACATCATATGGCTGGGAACAACTTGATTACCCTCTGTATAGCCCTGATCTAGCAACTAATAACTACCACTTGTTCCTCCACTTGAAAAAGCATCTAGGCAGTCAGTGCTATGACAATGATGATGATAAAAACACTGTACTGCAGTGGTTGGCAAATCAGGCAACAGGTTTCTATGAAGATAGAATTCAAAAGCTGGTTGTACGATATGAAAAGTGCCTTAATATTGGGAGGAAATTATGTTGAAAAGTAGATTAAGGTACAGGCTTTTATGTAAGAATAAAATTATTAAAAAAACTTGCACTGTGTTTTTTTAGTATCAAAATGGTACTTATTTAAAAACACACCTCATATATTAATATAAAATATTCAAAGCAATAAAATTATTATTAAATTTGGGATGTAGTATCTGTAAAAATCATAAATAAATAAAATACTTTCTTACTGGAACTACACTATAAATAAAATCATAACTTTTATACATCTTTATCATAGTTTATTAAAAGATATTTGAAACACAGTACAGAAACATTACTTTAATCATCATCAAATATAAATAATATAAATTATGTAATCATTTTTAATGTAAAATAACTTACTTTCAAAATCAACAAATACATCATATTTAGGATTATCATCTCTGGATAAAATCCTCAATAAATTTCCCATTGTGGGAAAAATTAGTCTTTAATACCTGCAATTTAAAAATTATTTATGTATAGAAATGATAAAATTATATTTCTATAGCATAATTTCAAAATTTAAATTCACAAAAACTTAAAATTAAGATTTAAAATATTTCAGAACAATGGTAACAAAGTAATAAACTAATTCCCAAGTATCATTCAATCTTAAATTAAAATATCCAAGTTGGAATGAATTTCAACACAGTAAAAACAATACCGTAACTTCAGTGCTGGAATAGTGAGTTGATATTATTATTACTGTCATTCAATCTTATAAGTAAGACAATACATGGGACAGAACTTTTTTTAATAGAAAAACTACTAACAGTAGTGATGTAAAAACATACTGGGAAGCAATGTATCAACATATCAAAAAACAAATAAAATGGTTTAACCATATAAAATTCAGAATTTTGATAACTGGAAGTTAAAGCACCAAACACCAAAAACCTTAGTGTATCATCATTCTTTTAAATTCCTGGATAATACCCATATAAATAGATATTTTTCAGATGGTAAGATCAGGCTTGCAGAATGAAGAAATGAATCTTCTCTCAAGAATTTTTAGGCATTAGTGATGATAAAAGTATTAAATATAATAAAAAATATCAACCAGGTAATATACCATTCACCAAATAAACCATCACCAGTTCATAACAAAACAGAAAAATTCTTACTACAAACATTTTCGTTTATGTGAAATAGACATCTTCAGGTATTGATATCGAACAAATGGCTCATAAAATAGAATGCACGAGCCGTTTGTTAATCAACCAAGTAGTCAAAGCAGTAAAGGTGTTGACCCGACAATTTAGATCCAAGTTTGAGTATGGTTTAGCAATCCCAGAAATTTTTTTAAAAAGCAGTCTGTCCCAGATATGCCAAGCTTTGTCACTCACCACCCAGTTGTCTCCATGTGGATCTGGTTGAACCTATAATGGATTGGAAATAAAAGGCCTCTCACTATAATGGAAAAGATAATGAAGACAAATGTGTATAAATTTCGCAATAATGAAGACAAATGTGTATAAATTTCGCATTAGGATTCCTCAAACACCAAATTCATGGACATATATGTAGAGACTTATCACACATTAAAAAAACAACCAGATAATAATGTTGATAAATGATAACCAAATGATATATAGATATCCTACAAAAAGTGGAAGAATTGTTTATACTTTTAATTGTAACTGTAATGTATATGTTACATTTACATAGGTGAAATAGGAAGATCCTTAGGAATTTGGCTTGCAGAGCATATTCGGTCTATCAAATATAATTATGTAAATTCAGCTGTTGCTTATGTTGTAATAGTTTTGGGTGTGAAATCAAGAGCGATTTAATTAAAATATGAAAATAATCCAATAGATTGACAACACTACAAGCATCTGAAAATTTTAGATATATGTAATGAATTTAAAGTAAATAATGATGGTAAGAAAATCTGTAAAACCTGGCTGCCATTCTTGAACAGTAGACGGCATCATTGATAACAATTATGGATTATTGATCCGGTGATAATTGTGGAATGTTATCAGATGTCATTGTAACGAATACCCAGTGTTGTTTTTTGGATAATAAGCATGTGATTATGTAAGTTGAGTGGTTCTTATATTTAATCTGAGTATTGGTGTAATTTTAAGTCATTTGTACAGTTTAAATTAAATGTTGCATTGCAATGTATATTAATGCCAGATCTGTATAGTAATAGATCTGCTAAAATTATAAGAAATGGTTTAATTTGGTAATAATTTCATAAATTTTAAACTTATTAAATTTTAATTAAAATGTGTATAATTGTTTGTAGTTAGCATCATATTCATGTAATAAAAGCTGCTTATTAAACATCGAAGTGTCGTTTTGATGTTCCTAATAACAGTGTGATAAATCTTCACATATATGTCCATGAATTTAGTATTTGAGGAATCCTAATGTGAATACAGTTTGAGACAAGAAGCTTTAAATTATATATAAATTTCTTGTTTATGAAATGAGATGTTAACTCATCTCATAAACAAATAATTTATATACAATTTAAAGCTTCTTTTTTTTCATTTTAATTATTTAATTGAAAAATTAAAAAAATTGATTAAATAACTCTCTATTATTTGCTAAAATAAACACTGTACATCATTTTTTATATTTGCATTATGCTATATTTTAGAAAATACAAATAAAAACAAATAAAATGTGCAAAATAAGTAAGATAAATTATTTTTTATGCTTCATTATTTCAATTAACAAGAATAAATAATAATTTTTTCCTATAGGAAAATGTCTGGCATTTGAATTTTAATGTAAATTAAATTCATTAAATGTATATTTTCAAAATATCCAACTATATTTCATAAAAATTTGCTTCTTGTCCTTGTTTTGAAATTTAATGTTATCAAGCTCATGTATTATTGGCTTCTAGTCTGAGGACTTCCCCAAAAGGTGCTTATATATTGAATTTAGTCCTCAGACTAGAAGCCAATATATAAGCTTGATAACATTAATATAATACTGTTTTGCCATAATGTAGAAAATTCAACAACTTTACGCAATAAATTCAAAGAGAACAGTTTTGGTTTTGAAAGACAGTTTTAACAACTTATACTATTGTGAAGAAGTTGTCATTTTCATATATACAGTTAACGTGTTATTGCAGAAAGATGTCTTAATATTTAATTATTCAATATGCAAGAAATTCTATCATCAACATTTCTACTGTGTACTTTAAAATTAGAAACCTGTATGTATTTATTGTAACTGTATATTATGTACAGTACAATATATTTAATGCATTAAAAATTCAAAATATGATGTTAAAAGTTTCCATTACAGAGAATTATTTTCACAAATTGTTTTATAAATATATTTACAATATAGTTTAAATGCCATTTCTAAAATTTTCAAATTTTCAAACATAAGTACATGGAACTCTGTTCATCTGGATCTTTGGTTTATCTGGAATAAGAAAGAAAGACACATGGAAAAAAATTTAAGAACTAACTTCCAAGTAGTACATTGTTGTCTGGATATAACGTTGTAGCTGTAAGAATACTGTTTTCCCTTGGCTCAATGCCAACTTTGAACACCTGCAGCTTTATAATAGAGGATCTGGTAAAAAAATAAATACAGTACAATATATCATAATTACTTCAGTTCAAATTAGTCCTTTCTTTCCCTACAAAGGTCATAAAGAGAAGTTCTACCCCACACAAATGGTCAGGAAACTTATGTATGTGTACTGTACCAGCTAATAGAAAACAATGAACTGATACTGTATGTAGATGTCTTTTACTTTATACTATTAATATTGTAAAAACATATATAATGTGCAATAAATAAAATATAATGTACAGTACATCTAAACTGTGTTATTTATGTCGTTAACAAATTTTCCAGATTATCCAGATTTTCGGTCATCTGGATTGGGGCCAATCCCATTTGAGCCGGATAAACAGGGTTCCACTGTAATGCAAATTAAGTTTAATCTCAAATGTAAACAAATGTATATTAAGCTTATAAAAAGAAAAAAAAAACCTAATTACTGATCATGAAAGAATTTGGTTTAGTAAAAACTAAATCTTATATTGTCATATATCTTTTCATTTAAATTTTTTTTTTAAATTTCCAAACAAAAAGTAGTATTAATATTCTCTTATTATGCAATATTAATGAAATCAGCTTTATATATTCTTACAATTACAGTATAAATATGTTAGAATAAAATATTTCATTTATTTGATTAATTAGTTAATTACTATGTAAATTTATCCAAAAATAACTTGTAGAATTTCATACAAAAATTAAATTCATTATATATATAGTATATATATCTAATCAATTTTGTTTTCATAATATAAATAAAAATATATTGTCTAAAGCATTTTGATAAAAGTATATGTTCTAAGAAAATGGTTGAAAATTTATTACATGTAATTTTATAAATATCTTTACATATTTAATGAGTTAGCAAATTATTTTAATTATAACTTAAATGTTTTGGTGAAAATAAAAATAATTTCTTTTAATATAAAATTTCATGTTTTATTTTCAGTTAATTATTAATCAACACACTAGAACCTTTTTATATCCCAGTAAGAACAAATTTTAGTTAAAACTAACGTTTTTGACTAGTACAATTCGAATATGGAATGCATCAAACATGTTTAAAATTATTTTAAAATTCCAAAATATTTAAATATTAGAAAATAATTTTTAGCCATGTGTGCTACAATAGTGATAAAAATATCCTTACATCACCACAAATAAATAATAAGATGTAATTAATAGTATATAAATGGTAGCTACATGCTAATGTTGTTCTTGTTTTTTTCATAGCAGCACCATGATTAGAAGACGACCATGATTACGATTGAGAACGTTAGTTTTAACTAAAATTTGTTCTTACTGGGATATATAAAAAAATTTTTAGTGTGTTGATTATCCTTCCCAGTGTTTATGCAAGAAGTTGCTTCAGTTCATTATTAAATTGCAAATGTATATATAGAAATAAAAATAAACATCTTAAATTATTCCAGCAAGAACAATTTATTGAAAACAAGAACTTTTTTGACCCAGTTAATGGATCTTCATCAGTTGTCAAGCATACAAACAGTATCAAACACAAATCAAAAATCAAATTTAAAACTGAATAGAATGTATATAAATTACATTAAAATAATAATAATAATAAAACATGAAACAAAGAATTTAAACTACTCGAGATTTCATAAAACAATTTCTACGTAATGGATAATAAGTCCATATCATGGTAGTTAATATAACAATATCTTCTATTAGCCTTGTAGACTTCCAGGATTTCCATTTGTTTTAATCTATTCAGATGATTGTTTGTAGGTCTAATCTTAGTACCATTCCAAATTACCTTCATGTTAGGTTTGTTAGAAAATGCTGATAAACCACCATCCATTTATTCCATTATGCCAACATTTATGCTCTTTAATTCTACTAGGGAGTTCCAACATAATTCATTTTTTGATGAATTGGTGGTCTG